CAAATAGCAAAATGTAAACTTGCTCTAGCTCTACGGGGGTTGCAAGCCACCTATCCAACAATTCTAGTTGCCATGATTACTAGACACACAACTTGCTATGATACTAGTCACTAAGAGCTCTCAACCTTGCTACACTAAAGAGCTCCACTAGATGAACTTAAATAACAAATCAAGCTCTCAATTCTAATTACACTAAAGAGCTTGTCACCACTAGTTTGCAAGAATATAAAAGAGTGAGTAGGGTGATTATACCGCCGTGTAGAGGGATGAACCAATCACAACATGAATATGAAATCAATCACCGAGAGAATGTCAAATGGCAAGAGACAACCGATTTTCTCCTGAGGTTCACGTGCTTGCCAACACGCTACGTCCCCGTTGTGTCGACCAACACTTGGTGGTTCGGCGGCTAAGAGGTGTTGCACAAACCTCGTCCACATAATTGGACACCGCAAGAACCTACCCACAAGTGAGGTAACTCAATGACACAAGCAATCCACTAGAGTTACCTTTCAGCGCTCCGCCGAAGAAGGTATAGATCCCCTCACAATCACCGGAGATGGCCACAAACAATCACCAACTCGTGCCAATCCTCCACCGCTGCACCAAGCCATTCAGGTGGTGGCAACCACCAAGAGCAACAAGCGAAATCCGCAGCAAAACACGAATACCAAGTGCCTCTAGATGCAATCACTCAAGCAATGCACTTGGATTCTCTCTCAATCTCACAATGATGATGAATCAATGATGGACAAGAGTGGGAGGGCTTTGGCTAAGCTCACAAGGTTGCTATGTCAATGAAAATGGCCAAGAGAGTGAGCTTGAGCCGACCATGGGGCTTAAATAGAAGCCCCATGAAATAGAGCCGTTGGGCTCCTCGCTGCACTGAACACGGGTCGACCGGACGCTCCAGTCATATTGACCGGACGCTGGACCTCAGCATCCGGTCGTGTGATGTGCGCCACGTGTCATCGGCTTCAAACGCCGATCGCCCGATTTCAACGGTCAAGAGATGACCGGATGCGTTAGTTAGAAAGTGACCGGACGCGTCCGGTCGTAAAATGTCACGTTTGAAACCTTACTGGAAATGACCAGACGCTAAGGTCCAGCGTCCGATCACACAACGTCTCCTCTGTGTGCCTCACATCAGCTTACGTCAGCACTGACCGGGCGCACCCAGCCAGCGTCCGGTCACTTTTAGCGCCAGCATCCGGTCGAAGACCGAAACACACGCCCTCTGCTGCCACTGACCAAACGCTCCGGTCCAACCGAGATCAGCGTCCGGTCACATACAGTGACCTTCATCTTCTCTGTCTAGGGTGCCGGTGGCACCGTCGGACTGTCTGCACTCTATGGGCGGACACTCCGTCGGTGAAGTTTCTAACCCTTGCTCAAATGTGCTAACTACCAAGTGTATCACCTTGTGCACATGTGTTAGCTTATTTTCACAAACATTTTCAAGGGTGTTAGCACTCCACTAGATCCTAAATGCATATGCAATGAGTTAGAGCATCTAGTGGCACTTTGATAACCGCATTTCGATATGAGTTTCACTCCTCTTAATAGTACGGCTATCGATCCTAAATGTGACCACACTCGCTAAGTGTCTCGATCACTAAAACAAAATGGCTTCTACAATTTTCACCTTTGCTTTGAGCCTTTTGTTTTTCTCTTTCTTCTTTTCCAAGTTTAAGCATTTGATCATCACCATGCCATTACCATCGTCATGATCTTCACCATTGCTTCATCACTTGGAGTAGTGCTACCTATCTCATAATCACTTTGATAAACTAGGTTGGCACTTAGGGTTTCATCAATTAACCAAAACCAAACTAGAGCTTTCAAGCGCTCTAAGTGCTCATTTGCCCAACAGACTTTGGAGTACCTGGGACACATCATCAGTGCCCAGGGAGTAGCCACGGACCCTAAGAAAATTGAAGCTGTGGCCAATTGGCCCACTCCAATAGATCTCAAGTAGTTAAGGGGTTTCCTTGGGTTATCCGGTTACTACTGCAAATTCATCAAGAATTATGGCCTGATCAGTCGACCATTAACTGACCTCCTCAAGAAGGATGTTCTCTTTCACTGGACCCCCCAACTGCAAATGAGTTTTGAGGCTCTCAAGTGGGCTTTGATCTCAGCCCCTGTTATGGTCCTACCAGATTTTAGCAAGCCATTCACCATTTGAGACGGATGCTTCCTCCACAGGAGTGGGTGCTGTGCTTTCCCAAGACAACCACCCTGTGGCTCACATTAGCAAGGCACTTGGACCCAAAGCTCAAGCATTATCTACATATGAAAAAGAATGCATGGCACTCATCTTGGCAGTTACCAAATGGAAATCCTATATGCAACATCAAGAGTTTAATATAGTCACTGATCATAAAAGCCTGATCCATTTGGGAGAACAAAAGTTACAGGAAGGGATGCAGCACAAAGCCTTTCTCAAGCTTCTCAGTCTACAGTACAAGATAGTGTACAAGAAAGGGTTAGAAAACAAGGCTGTTGATGCCTTATCTCGTCAAGCTGAACCTAGCACAGTGGCAGCCATCTCTACCAGTACACCCAGGTGGCTAGAGATCATAGTGGAAGGTTATACCAAGGATGATCAAACCAAGCAACTGTTCATAGAACTCAGCATCACTAGATCAAATGATAAAGGTTTCACCTTATCTGATGGTCTCATCAAGTATAAAAACAGAATTTGGCTGGGCAATCACACAGAAGCACATCGGGCAGTGTTACTGGCACTTCATTCTAGTGGTCTAGGAGGACACAAAGGTATTACTGCAACTTATCACAAGGTGCGCGCCCTGTTTGCCTAGCCCAATTTGAAGCAGTCTGTCATTGACTATATCAACACTTGCGAGGTATGTGCCCAGGCTAAACCTGAACATTATCGTTTGCCGGGTTTATTGCAACCATTGCCTATTCCCCAACATGCTTGGCACACTATCAGCCTTGATTTCATAGAAGGTCTACCCAAGTCCAAGCAATTTGACACTATTTTGGTCATTGTTGACAAACTAACCAAATATGCCCACTTCATATGCCTCAGCCATCCTTACACTGCCCTTTCTGTGGCTCAAACCTTCATTTCCAATGTCTACAAATTGCACGGCATGCCCTCTGTGATCATCTCAGATAGAGATCGCCTCTTCACTAGTAACCTATGGCAAGAGCTTTTCAAACTTACTGACACCACACTCAACATGAGCTCGGCCTATCATCCACAGACCGACGGTCAAACAGAACACTTAAACCAGAGCCTAGAAACCTATCTTCGTTGTATGGTTCACTCCTGTCCTCACAAACGGGCTCAGTGGGTTCCTTTAGCCGAGTTTTGGTATAATACCACCTACCACCCGGCCCATGGTCATACCCCCTTTGAGGCCTTATATGGCTACCCGCCCAAGCACTTTGGCATTACACTTACCGATGCCTGCTCAGTTCCTGATTTGGAGGATTGGCTCCAGTCCCGTAATATCATGTTGCAGCATATCCAGCACAACCTAGCTCGCGCTCAGCAGCGCATGAAACATCAAGCTGACAAGAATCGCTAGGAAAGAACCTTTGCTGTGGGTGATTGGGTCTATGTCAAGCTGCAACCATACATACAACAATCTGTTGCCCGTCGTATCAACCAAAAGCTCAGTTACAAGTACTTCGGACCATATCTGGTGCTCCAAACCGTGGGTAAAGTAGCATACAAGCTTCAGTTACCTGCCAATAGTCAAATTCATCCTGTTTTGCATGTGTCACAGTTAAAGAAGGCCTTACCTCCGAACTCCACCCTATCTACTGATGATGAGCTTCAACTTCTCTACATGTTGGAAGGCCTTCCACCATCCCAGGTATTGGATCATCGCCTTCATCTGGTAGGTCACCGGGTGGTACCGGTTGCTCTGTTGCAGCGTGAATCATGTCCAGTGCATTGGGCTACCTGGGAGCGTGCCATGGATGTACCATCATCAAGCAGGTTAAATTTCGATTCGGTGATCGCGAGGGGCGTGGCTGCAGCTTAAGGAGGGGAGATGTCACGAACAGGCCTCGGCTACTCTTCAAAGATGGGCCGCACTAGTCAGATCTGGCTCTGTAAGTCGGCTCATGAGAGCAGCGTGGATGTATCTTTTGGGCTCGGCCTATTTTTATCGTTGCACTGAGGATATACTCGCTGTGTGGGAGGATGGGTGGACAGAGAACAACAAAGACCTAATTTCCGAATCCTCTTCCTCCTTCCATTGCCTGCTCGAGGCGGCGCCATCGTCGTGCTCCCATCCGTGCGTGCACGCCGGCAAACTCATCTATCTGGTTAGGGTCGTGACAGTGCCGCCGTCTCTTTCGGATCCACCTGCGAGGCCTGAGGAGTTGCGGCGGCGGCGGGGTCGGCTCACCACAGTAGCAGCCCAACCCCTCCCTCTCCTCTAGGAGCGCATCGAAGGGCATGAGGCAGCGGTTAGGGCGGCAGCATGGGATCTCGCCAAGGACGAAGGCATTGAGGAAATTTTGGTGGCATGGCCTCGTCGGAGGGGTCGGAGGAGCCTCTCGCAGTCCCGTGTGCCACCGCCGTGGCCACCACTGGATGGAGTGGGGTCACCGCCGCTAGCTGCAGTTGCACCGCGTTCGCCGCTCTGGATCCTCCAACTCCGCCGACAGCCACCGCCTTCTCCTTCGCCATCCGCCACCAGGGTCTGTGCGAGATGCAGATGGGACAAGAGTCGCGGCTCTAACTGCCGAGGCGCCCCAGTGTGTGGGCGCCGCCGCTTTGGGCGGGTAAGTTAGATTTCGGGTGAAAAAAAAACTACGAGAGGGAGGGCGCGGAAGGAGACTCTGAGCATATTCGAGAGTTTCTTAAACCCCCTCCTAATCCTTATTTTTTTAGAAAGATGAGAAAAAACCCATCTCCAACAAGTCCTAATCTTAACTCCTAAATTTTAGGCACTTTGGAAAAACCGAGCTAATCCGCGTAACTTTACGCGCACCGTATCCTTCCCTCGGCGATGCTGGAGAAGTTCCCCAAGGCCGTGGAGCCCGCGTGGTGGTGGCCGCGCCGCCGCCCGCAGCAACAGCCGAAGAGCAGCACCACCACCACCCGGTCCAGGAGCTTCGGCCGCCGTGGCGTCCACACCACCTCCAACGGGTGGAGCCAGGAGCTGGAGGAGGAGATGCGCAGCCTGCTGCGCGTGCTCCGTGACAAGGACGAGCACCAGTACCTAACGGTGGGGAAGCTGGTGGTGTCCATCAACCGTGGCCTCGCCGTGGCGGTGGCCGCGGCCTTCATCGGGACCGGCGACGGCGCGTGGGCGTCCGGTGCCGCGGCGGCGTGCGGCGGTGAACACGGTGGAGCACGCGCACAGCTGGGCATGCTGTTCGAGCTGCTGCAAGAATCGCACCGAAGTTCTACCGCAAGGTGCAGGAGGACATCGAGGCCGCATACGGGGACGCCGACGTGGAGCGGCGGGAGAACGGGGAGGTGTTCCGGACCAAGGTCGCCCTGCTGCTGGGCCGCGACGTGGCGGAGCTCCGACAGTTCAGAAGGATGGCGTCGGCGTCGGTGAAGGATGACGATATCAAGGACTACGCCGGGAAACTCTTCTGATTACAGTTCAGATGGATGTGCATATATACCATCTGACACACTCACTCACTGCTCACTGGCTTGTGCGACGTACGCAGACATTTTTAGATGTTATTTATTAGAAACTCTTGGAGATGACCTTCTTTTTTTCTCCCTAAATCTTTTTTAGGAGTTGCCAAACTATAAGGTTTTAGGAGAAAAAAGTAAGGAACTCTTGGAGATGATAGAAACGCGTAAGACGTAAGATGGTAGATGGCCCACCAATGGATTAATCTGGAGCGCTAGATTTAAAGGAACTTGGTTATCTAACGGTTTATATTAAAGGTGGGTAAGAAATTTTTGATAGAAATAGTTTTCAATTCTTTCGCTCCTTTATAGTATAGATATAGACTAGAAAACTAGGCGCGGCTTTGTCTTGCCCGTGCTAGAACAGCGAGCCGATCAAAACAACAAAATGATTAAAATTTTGACTCATCATTGGATGTGGCTTGGGGATATAAGCTCTAATTTTTGACACCGGAGCAACAAGTAATGAAGGAGCAGTAGTGTACATACTTCAGAATTGCACTAGTGTACACACTTCAAATTGGCATTAGTAGACATAATGCTGCTGAGTCCGGCCATGGTAAAGATCAATGCGGATGGAACATATGTGGTTCAAACTAGCGTTATTGCTAGAAGATATGGTCTGCTTAACAATTTGGCGGGTGTTTTTTCACGGTGAAAGTGCATGAAGGGTGGCTTTAAGACGTAGCATTGTCCATTGCCCGATTGGTCGGTTAGCATCAAACTCTTCCTGATCTCGTATTTTTTATTCAGATTCAATTCAATTTTCATCTCACGGTTTTAGATATTGCTCCTCTTCTTGATCTCTGAAAAGTTAGAAGAGCCTTTTAGAAGCTATATCTGAGTACACCTGCCGAAAAATGAAGAAACATGCACATGAAGAGATAAGAACCGAACTGTTAGAACAGTATAATGATGAGCTGATCATGATGATTATTTGTCTAGAAGCGATGGTGCCTGCAATGATCATAACCAACATTAGCATCTTGAGTCGTCTGCTATAAACCAGTCAAGTAGCTAATTCTTTCTTTAAACCTGAAACAAAAAGATTCCCCTTGGATTTTAATTTTTATAGCAAAATAATGGCTTTAAACTTAGCAAAATTAATCAATCAGACTTACTCTCTGAGATGATCACAACATTTAACAAATCTAAATTATAACAAGTTCAAGAGAGAAGCAACGATTGTAGAAATAAGGAAACTCACCTGAGTTGGGCTGCAACATCTTGCCGTCGCCATTACAATTTACAAATGGCTTTCGCAATCAAAAATAGGCCACGCCTTTCTTGTTTCATGTTATATAGCGTTGAAGCTACAATTGCTATCTGATAAAAAAAAACACAGACAGCAGTGTTGCTTCTGATATGCCTGTGCCTCTGTTAGCAAAATTGAAATGGAGAAATGTAATATTGGCCAATCTTTTGTTTACTCAATGTAATCAGACCTAACTTGTATGCTTTCCAGATATACACAAAGAAACATCTCGAACGCAATTACCAAAGGTGTGGCAACAATCACACCTTTGTGCTCCGTGAATGTTATTGTTTCATGAAATATGACTGGAGGTAGAATCAAGGAGATTACAATAGTTAAAATGTATGTTGTATTATGATATTCTAAGGACAGGTTTGGACACATAAAAAACAGTACTCCCTCCGTCCTAAATTATCTGTCGTTTTTTGTTTCCGTGCCGTAAGTTTGACTCGATTTGTAGAAAATACGTGCAACATTTGTATCTCCAAATAAATTTATTAAAAAACTAGATTCAAAGATATTTCCAATGATACTAATTATATACCATAAATATTAATATTTTTCAATATATATTTTGTCAAAGTTATTTCTCGGGAAGCGAAAACGACAGATATTTTGGGATGGAGGGAATATGTAGATTTGATCACAGAAAACAATACTCTCAAATTGAAATTGTCAGAATCATAGAGTTGGAGAAAACATAAGAAACTTTTATGGTATGATATTTTGAGGAATGCCAAATTTCTGAATAAGATCAGAAGATTTAAGGTTGAAGCTTACATTTATGGAAGATTGTACCCTTGCTCAAAATCGGTGAGGGGGAGTAACCGAGACCGGCGATGCAGCGTACAATGTGGGGGCGCGGAGTCGGACGGCGATGGAGCAGTTGCGATGAGAGCGAGAGGAGAAAGAAGATGTGAGAGAGAGAGGAGCTCAGGTAGCAGTATAGTGTTCAAAGCTCGGCGCAAGATCCATTGCGCCGAGCTTAGCACCGAGATATGTGGCGGTGAGTCCGGTGCCAAGATCCATGATGCCAACTTTTGCCATGTTAGCGCTACGTAAGGAGTGATGCAACATCTGGTGTCCAAGTTCGGCGTCATGACCTACGGCACTATGATGTATTACCTCGGCGCTGATGTGTGCAAAGACAAAAAAAAAAGAGAGTCTCGTGACCTAGTCCACAATGGAACACATCGGCCCTGTTCGCTTGTTTTATAATCGGTACTTTTCAACTTATTTTTTTTAGGCGGAATAATATTTTTCTCTTACACCAAATCAGTCGGAACAGTGAAACGAACGGAGCTGAGGGTGACCGGCGAGCGCGCGGCCGGGTTGCTCTCGGCACAACCGGAACGTGGAGGCTCAATGAATGTGTGCGGATCCAAACGGCCAAACCAAACAGAAGGCAACACAACGGCCGAGCCCCTGCTCCCCCGTGGCCCGTGACCGTGAGGGACGGAACACGTCCAAGAAGAATCAAACCCATCGTCAATGCATCAACGGCGCCACCCGGATCGTGCCACTGTTTCCGAGCTCACCCCTCCACCCCCTTCGTCTCGCTGCAAGAGTTTGATCGTTCTGCTCAGCTCATCGTTTCCTTGACGCCTCTGCCATGCGCGCAATTGGTCCTGTGTACCCTCATTATTCAGAAATGGTTTCTGGCCGTACTGGGCTACTGGCGCATCTTTAATCCTTGCTATAAATCAGTTTCATGAGACAAGGCGCATGCAAACGCAGATTCACAGATGGATCACCAGGGAGAAAAATATGATGATACGCGCGTACGGAGTATGCTACACCAAAGTCACATGTGACAGTCAGTCACCAGGCAGGCAGGCAGGCTGGCCACACGTAGGCCAGACAGTAGGCGAGTTGGACATTCATACCGTCACCTACCTCCTGCGTGAGTCGTGATCCTGTGCCAGTTGCCGCTTTGCCTGAGCTCGTTCGAAGCGGAGCTTGGCGGAGAAGAATCCACTAGGCAGCTCCAAAATAAAGAGTTAGGCGAGTTTGATTGACGAAGAGTGCATAGCCATAGGTCTCGTTCGCTCGAACTCGTCAACCCAGCAAAATAGTAGTGCTTTTATCTCATAACAAATTGGCATAAGCTGTTTTTTCGACCAGCTAAACAGGGCCCTAGATAGCTATGAAGTGCCAAAATTTCAACTCTCTTGATTTCTGGTTTGGACTTTGGAGTGCTAAAATTTCGACTCTTAATGCACAAACTTGCAGCCCGTTCGTTTCGGCTGAATTGGCTCATAAACCATAGTTGAAAGTACTGCTGACTAGTTTAATGTGAGAGAAAAATACTATTTAAACTGTGATTATAAACCAGACAAATAAGCCAAAACAAACATGTTGTTGATTGGTCAAGATGTTTGGTACAGTGGGCAGTGACACTCGCACTGCAAACGGTAGCGGTAATTCTTTCGTCCCTAGTCAACCGTACCAGTACCACTATCACGTTTTAGGCCCCGTTTAGTTTCTGAAAATTTTTGGCTTTTGGCTACTGTAGCATTTTCGTTTATATTTGATAAAAATTATCCAATTATGAACTATTTAGGCTTAAAAGATTCGTCTCATGATTTCTCGACTAACTGTGTAATTAGTATTTTTTTCGTCTATATTTAGTACTTCATGTATGTGCCGCAAAATTTGATGTGATGGAGAATCTTGAAAATTTTTTTGTTTTTTGCTTAGAACTAAACAGAGCCTTACTAGAACGTCGCCCAGTTTTCACTTTTCAGAGAGGTACTGTAGAGGTAAGTGTGACGTGACGGCCTGCAAGTCCGTCCTATTTGCCTCGATTGTAAGTTTTTTCATTCTCTTTATTTTACATTAAATTTTTGGACACATACACAGAGTATTAAATATAAATAAAAAAATAACTAATTATATAATTTGATTGTAAATTACAAGACAAATCTTTTAAATAGACTATAATTAAATAATAATTATCAAATATAAACGAAAGTGTTACGCTACTAAATACTAATTCCTAACCCAGTCTAAACACGGCCTTGTTTATAAGCCGTAGTAAACAGTATTTTTTCTCTGCCGGTGAATGGCCAAGCGAACAGCGCATTGTTCTTGCTCCATTTACTGTGACTCGGACCTGATGAGTGCGCACGGGGGCAGTGCAGGCATTAAACGCCGCTCACCCACCAGCTCGCTCAGCCCATTTGTTGCTTCGCCTTCGGATCCTTCGTCCGACACTCCGGCCCCCCAACGCCGGCAGCGCAGTAACTCCCCTCCCCTCCCCTCCCTCGCTCCCTCCCTCCTCGCCATCCATCCTCCTCCACTCCACAGTCGCCTGTTCGCTGTGCAGTGCATGCCACTCCCGTTTCTAATCCCCCCTCCATCACCATTCACCAGTGCCGTGAAGCCCACACCACACGGCCCCGCAGAAGCATTTGCATTGCCACCACACTGTGAATTTAATCGTCGGCGACGCGGCCCTGTGCGCAGGATGCTCTTTGCCTGTCAGCTACTGTTCACCTCTGCTCATATAGCGCGCGGCTAGCAGCTTCTGGATCGACGCGTGCGATGTAGCAGTGGCTGCCTAGCTAGTTGGCAAACAGTGTGCTAGCTACACGCTAGCTAGGCACGCCGCCGGCGCCGGGATCCATGGCGGGTCAGGAAGAAAAGGTGGAGCACAAGGGAGGGGCGGTTGCCGGACGGCGGCAAGGATCGAGCGAGAACAACGACGCCAAGAACGACGGCGCACCCGAGGCGGCGGCGTGTGCGCCCAAGGCGGCTGCTGCCTTGCCGATGCCGCGCCACCGGCGGTCCAAGAGGTCTGTCTCCAGTCTCCACACGTGCTGCCCTCGGCTTCGTCTCTTTCACATATGGACTTCAAAGCTTCGTTCGGTGTTGAACTTCGCCGCCGTCTCTATTCGTGTTTCAGTGCATCTTCCGACAGGAATGCGGAGGCATGCAAGCATGGACCGTCGCGTGGCGCCGTGGAGCAATGCTTCGGCAAAGCACAGCTTGCCATGGTCACTCCCTGCTTGTCCAAGGTTCGTTGTTGATTACTCAACTCTTCACCGCACGCACAACGGGAGGATATGTGGATTTCTTATTACTGACAGGCTTTATTTGTGAATTCTCTGTCAGAATCAGAACCCGCCGGACGCGAGGAAGTCTTTCGCGATTCCTCCGGCGGCATGCTCAGTTCACCAGGGGCCGCGAGATCAAAGGCCGAACGCGTCGCCAAACCACCGCGTCTCCCTGGAGAATGATGTGAGGACCTGAAGAAAAACGACCGTTTCTGATCTAGTAGGTCTGTTCGTCAGAATAACTTAACTGTTTATTATGAATTCTGGCAGGTTAGGCAGCTGCAGCTGCATTTGCATCAGGAGAGGTCTATCCGGGTCATGCTTGATCGGGCCATTGGCCGGGCATCCAGTACATTGTCTCCTGGACATAGGCATTTCCCAGCCCAGGTATGACTGATCGTCCATTTATTACCAACTCAAAATTTTTCCTCCCGCGAGTTGCAGCTGACTCGTGCATCTCACGTGACACTCAAGTTAGCTGTAGAATTGTTCATTTCCATGTAGAGTGCTCTAGCTCAGCACTGCCGTGGCAGCTTGCAAGTTTCAAGTTTGCAAGCATTCAATAAATTATTTCGTCTGGATTGGGCATGGAAATTCAGTTGTCTAACAAAACAGCTGTGAAACCACCGGTAACCAAATCCAGGCATCTTTTTTTTTGTTCTGTTTAGTATTGTTCACAGCTAGTTTGACGCCAGCTAAAAGAACAGTTGCCCAAGTCAACAGACCATGCAAGGGAACACGTTACATCCCTGCAACTCAATACTACTGTTAATGGTGTTCTTATTTTTTTTTTGGAAAGATCAATGGTGTTCTTATTAGAGACTGTATAGCTGCTTATGTTGTAGTGTTGTACATGACTATGATTGTTGTATTCTTATAATCCAAGCCTGCCTTCTCTCTCTCTCTCTCTACGATTCTGAAGACTGACTGCTCTTCCCTTCAGACAAAGGAACTGATAGCAGAGATTGAATTGCTCGAAGAGGAAATCGCCAACCGTGAGCAGCACGTTCTTACTCTCTACAGAAGCATCTTCGATCAGTGCATGTCTGGGCCATCGTCTGGCCAGAGTTCCGGTATTTCATCCCCTGCGCACACCAAAAGTATCACTGCTAGGACAAGAAGGCAGCCAAGCATAATATCAAGTGCATTTTGCTCATCCAAGAAGCTCCCACTTCAGCCCTTCCACATCATGGAGTCACTCTCTGAATCAGGAAGAACCAAGAATATGCTCAAGGCTAAGATCAAGCACCAATCTTTTTCAAGTGAAACATTGGATATTCATCCTACTTCCTTCCCACCGGATCCAAAAAAGGTAACACAGACAAGCAAAGAATTCTCCCAACAAGCTCATCTAACTTACTGCAAACATTATTAACTACAAATCATATCACTTTACTGTGCTTGATATGCCTGCTCTAATGCACCGTGTTTGCTCAACCAAAATTTTAATTAGTCCTTCTGTATGCACTTTTGAGGGGGAGATATATAGTAGTTTTATGACTATCATGCATGTTTCGTGCTCATCACACTATTTTCATAAAAAGGCACTATCGATACAACTCATCCAAAATTTGCACTTCTATATAATACGAATGCTTTCAAACCAGAATGGATAAATCATGCAGTAGATTGATTTTGACATTTCTCCTTATGAAAAGCTACCTTATTCTGGGAGTGGATCTCTTGCTCGCACTCTGAAAGATCACCTTTATCAATGCCCAAGCAAAATATCTGAAGAAATGGTTAGATGCATGGCATCCATATATTATCTTCTGCGCACCGAGGCACCAGAAAAGCCTGAAAAGGCCCGTTCACCATTCTTGTCAAGATCATCAACAAATGTCATACTTCCTCGGAGGGTGAACGGAGAGCAGAATAGCACATCAAACAACAAATATACAGTGGAAATAGCTTCCATATCAGTTGACAAGAATCAGATGCCAGATGTCTCTTATGCTATTACCCACTTCAGGTTGGTCCAAAAATAAAATACTGCAAATTATGCCCTCAAATTTCTCCTGAAAATCGCAAGTAACAGATTCTTTCTCTCTTGGATTTTAGATTGCTTGTGGAACAGCTTGAAAGAGTTGATCTGAGCATGTCGGAGAACAATGTTAAGCTGGCCTTCTGGATTAACGTGTACAATTCTCTTATCATGCATGTAATGCTAGATATTCGACAGTGACTTAAATTTTTTTTGTTTTATGTTTTGTTTTACCTTATTAACCTGTGTATTATCTACTTGAAGGCGTATCTGGCATATGGGATTCCAAACAGCTCTCTGAAAAGAATGGCACTGTTTCACAAGGTGAGACGTTTTCCTAAGTAGATTTGTGATTGGCCACCGGAACGAATCCTGAAATGTTCTGATCTGCTTTGACACACCATGCTGTGAATAGCTTGTCACTCTTTTCTGTAGATGTTAGTAACAAGTAGCTCACCCTATTGCAGGCTGCCTACAATATTGGAGGACATGCCATTACCGCCAATTCCATTGAACACGCCTTGTTGTGCTTCAGATCTCCACGGATCGGTCGTGTATGTAGATCAGCAATTTCATCCCGACGTTCAATTTTGTTTGGTTATTGATGCATAGTTGGAAAGTTGAGATTAAAATCCTAAGCTGGGAAAATAGAATAAAATTACATTAGCACCTCAACTAGATCACTTAATTACACTCGCAACTTTTGTGGTGATAATTGGCTCTCAGTTTACTGAAACAACCCAAAGAGCACTTTCATCACTGTGAAAACAAAAACACCTGCTAAACTGACTGAGAATCCAACGAATCCATCTGCAGTGGTTCGAGTCCATTCTCTCGACGGCTATGCGGAAGAAATGCCCTGACGAGAAGCAGCTGGTCCAGCTCAAGTTCGGCCTGCAGGACTGCCAGCCTCTGGCCCTTTTCGCCCTGTGCACCGGTGCTTCGTCTGACCCCATGGTACTCTACTCACATTCTACACTGCAGCACATGTTACCTGCTCTATCTCATACTCCATGTTTGATCTCACAATACGTTTGCAGCTGTGGGTGTACACGGCGAAGAACGTGATGGAGGAGCTGGAGCGTGCCAAGCGAGAGTTTCTGCAGGCGACGGTGGTGGTGCGCAAGTCCAAGAAGAAGGTGTTCCTGCCGCGCCTGGTCGAGCGGTACGCAAGGGAAGCGTGCGTGGGCCCCGACGACGTCCTCCCGTGGGCGCAGCGGGAGGGGAGCGTCAGCGTTAGCGTCACCGCCGACGACCGGCCACAGCAGGTGGCCGTTCAGCGCCGGCGCAAGGCCGTGCAGGCCGTCGAGTGGCTGCCGTACACCGCCAGATTCCGCTATGCCTTCGCCAGGAGCATGGTCGACAAGCCACACTGCTAGCTGCTTCGCATCGCATCGCACGCAATCCTCGCAGCTGGTGGCCGTTTGGCCCGTTTCCGCTGGAGAAAGACAAATGATCGCTGTGAACTGTGATGTCTCGTTGATGCTGCACTGTTGATGGCTAGATAGTACTATTCCGTAGCAAGCAAATGGCAAGGATGGGGCGAAGGGTTTGGCTAATTTTGCCCAACGTGTACAGAAGCTGGGTTGACCACTATAATTTCAGCGGCGGGTGAGAGAGGGGATGACAGGTGGAGCCCTCGAGGTCCACCTGTCAGCGGCGGTTGACAGAGGGTAGCGGGCTGGCGCGCGCTCTCTCTCTCCTGCAGCCAGGGATGAAAACGGTCGGAAAATATCTCAACCGTTTTCTACTTCTAAATTTGAATACGAAAACAAAAAGCAAAAGCGGTAAAGATGGACACAAAAATGAACATGAACTTACGGGATATTGAGAATTTTGAAAACAAACTAATTCAAGCAGAATTACGTCCTAACACAATCAGTATACGAAAAATCAATACGGAATATTGACCCATAAGATGTGCATAACAATTAAGTGAATAATAATTAATAAGTCCTACAATTTTTTTAAAAACTATCTCCATTAGACATCATGTAAGAAAGATTTTTCTAATCCAACGAGCACTTGTACGCGATTAATATACCGCTGAAATTTTGTTTAATTTTTTAAACATCTTAAAGACCTTAAATGAAAAAACTAAAAGCTAAAAAGTTGTAGATCTCGTCAAGAGCTACAATTTTTATATAAAAATCATCTTCATCTGAGTTCGTATGAAAAAAGATACAATTTTTCTAATGCTGGACTTTTAGTGAGCCAAATTTGGTTTAACCCGAATTTCGAATTCGGGATATTCTGAATTAAAAGTAGAAAACAGTCGGAAAAACGTCAAAACCGTTTTCGTTCCAATTTCGAATTTGATGTTCCAAATTTCGAACCAAATTCGAATTTATCCGAAAATACGAATTCAATCGGATTAAATGTAGAAAACGATGCGGTTCGGTACGGGATATTTCCGTACCGTTTTCATCCCTAGCTGCAGCGGTTCGAGCGGGGGAGTGGGCCGGTTGGGCAGCGCGTGTGGGGCAGGCCTAGCTGGACCAACTGCTGGCTGCTGGGCCGCTTTCTTCTTTTCTAATTCCCCTCTCTATTTCTAATCCCTAGTCTATTTATATTTCTATTGCCCAAGCTCTATACTTGTACTCATGTATATTATACATGTAAACACCACTAGGGTGGGTCCACTAGGTCAACCTTATAGGGTTAGTTGCCCTAGGGTTTCAAGCACACACACTAGACAACTCAAGCTGTAGCTGTATATCAGTTAATTGTTAATCAAACTTGAAAACCAAGAAGAAACAAATCACATGTTGGGTAATTAATGCACATGCTCATCCAACTAGTTGGGATGCACCTAGTGCATTTAGGGGTGGTTTCCTACATGTTCACTCACCATGCAAGATTTTCAGAAAAGTTTTGAAAAACTGGGATTTTTGGCTTTGGGATTTTTAGGGTTGTTACAGATAGCGTCCCATACCCGCCCCTGCTAGACCCAATTGGGAATGTTTTGCCTCATTTAATCCCCCGTTGGGATGAATTTGGACCCTTCCCTATCCCCCGATAGCGGAATTCCCCGCGGGAAACCTGGGATTGGGTGGGTCCCATTTCCATCTCTAGGACCACAATTATCCATGTGGTTAGTTGAAAACCAAGATACCCGATAGCCTAAACACCACGTTTATGCTATGTATACTACTCCAACCTCGCGCGACACAGGTTGGAGCACTCAAATAAAGAGCAAAGAAATAATACAAATGGTGTAATACTACTACTAAGCAAACAAATTATACAACTAAATATATGCTACACAACCAAAGTATTACTACTAACAAGAGGGAGTATCAACACTACTAAGGCATAAAGTAAAGTAGAGAAGAGTTATATATTAAATACTCAAAGTCACTACAAAGTAAAGGATACAAGAGCTTCACCTTAAAGACTACGGAGGCTAAGCTCACATTCATGCTAATTCCCTAATTATACCACTTCTGCGTCATCTCTTCATCTTCTTCGTCGGTGCACTCCGCCCCTAGCTCTGGACCTCCACGTCCTCCCTAACCTTTCCCTAGGATAGCGCCATCAGCGCCCAAAGCATAGCAGACCGGTTGTTGTTGCTCCAACAATCCTATTTGTGGGTTGTTGCTAAGCGCTCGACGACCAGGTCCAACGGCAGCCGGCTGGTGGCTACCGCACGACATGGCTAACATAAATTGCCAGCGGCGGACGTGCTCCCCGCCCTCTAGCTTGGGAGTTGGGACCCCATCTGGTAGTGTGTGTGCGCCATAGGTGGTAGGAGCTACCGAGGTCTGTGTTGTGGGGCTGCATAAGAGGAGCATAGTGCGGGTCAGGGTTGATTCTAGATCGTCAGACTGTGGGGAGGAGATGATACGGTCACACCTGGTCTTTCGTCTCTCTAAGGAAATAGATTTGCACCTTTGAAGCACCACCGTTCTAGAGAGAGATCCACATGATGATAATCGAGAGATATTACGTAGTTCTAGAGGGAGAGGACCTATGGAGTATCATAGTTCTAGAGAAAGATCCGCAGGATGATAATTGAGAGATATTACACAATTCTAGAGGGAGAGGACCTTTGGAGTATCACAGTCCTAGAGAGAGATCCATGGGATGATAAGATATTACATACTCCCTCCGTCCTTGAACATAAGGCGTGATTTGACTTGGTGTGGTCTTCAAGAAAATATTTTGACCTATAATATCACTTATAATATATAATTTATAGGAACAAAAGTTTGATCATTAGAAAGTATTTCTAGATACAAATCTAATGTAACTACTTTTGTAATACAAACTTTTAACATAATTAAGCTATTTGTTAGACAAAGATAAGAGGGTTCTAGAGGGAGAGTACCTTTGGATTATCACAGTTCTAGTAAGAGAGATCCACGGGATGATAATCGAGAGAGATTGTATAGTTCTAAACCCGACAACATGATAATTGCAGTGGATATATATTACACGGTTCTAGAGGGAGAGGTCAACAGGATGATAATTGCACTTATGAAGAGATATTAAGGTAAAATGAACTCTCCAATAGAGGTGGATCCCAACATTACTCGGATAATTACAGTTGTAGAGAGACGTTTTAGCAAGATGAGCTCTCTAAGAGAGGTGGATCTCGCAGCATTACTGGGATGATGATGATAATCGTCGTTCTAGAGATAGAGGGTGGAGTGGGTTGTGAAGAAGTGGGCCACTCAATCCACACACTACTACGGAAGTGGTCATCCCAACATCCTTATCACCATTGATTTTTACACAACCAACGATGAAAGAAAAACTATACTCCTTTTAAACAGTACTTATGTACACTTCTAAAAATAAATCATGGACAAGCAATAAATTATTATGTATTTGCATCCGAGTGGTAAGAAAGGAAAACATGTCAAATTTTACAACAAGAAGTATGCAGGGGCAAGATCTTTTTCGGTCGCACTTAACATCAACTAATAGTAAGCTTGACTTCTGGTCGTACTTAACATCATCTAACGGTGAGCACGACGGAAGTGGCAGAAAAGGGTAGAAAAGTTAAGTTGAATGGCAGATAGCACTCAAAATTTACGGTTTGTTTGATTTGTGACCACAAGTCGCCGTGCCATAGGTCAGTTTATGGTTGTTGTTTGATTCAGTGTCACAGCCATAGCACGCCATAGTTTTTTAGCACTCTGCCCCACACATCATAGTCTCATTTTCTTGCCAAACTTTGCTATAAGTATGGCTTCGATTTTAAGGCATGTTTGGTTCATTACGAAAATCTTGCCATGTCAAAGGTTAGTTATGCCACAATTTTTGCGACAACTGTTTAGTTCACTACCACAACTACAATGCTTTCTTAGCACCCTGTCTCACAAGTCATAGACTTATTCTTGTGACAAACTTTGCCACAAGTGTGGCTTAGATTTTGCTCGCCACACTTTTTATGGCGGCCACAGTTTACCGAAGGTGAGGTGTGGTAAACTACGGCACCAACTGTCGGGGACCAATACTAGGGTACTTGAAGAGGAGGAGCTAATAACCAACAACATTGATTCATCCGAGCAGTCTAGAGCGTGACTATAGCTCCAACCGACCCCTAGGTGCACAAGCTCTGCCTTGCCCAGTCTCTAGGGGCAGGCTCCGTCTCGTCTGACACCGAGGCCGCGGGCTTCGCCTCGCCCGATCTCTGAGGATGGGCTCCGCCTCACCTGACCTCTGAGGGCTGGCTCCGCCTCGCCCGACCTCTGAGAACGGGCTCCGCCTCACCCGACACCGAGGCCGTGGGCTCTACCTCACCCGACCTCTGAGGGCTGGCTCCGCCTTGCCCGACCTCTGAGGGCGGGCTTCGCCTCACCCGACACCAAGGGTGCGGGCTCTGCATCTACTGGCCTCTGAGGGCTGTCTCCGCCTCGCCCGACCTCTAAGGGCTGGCTCCACCTCGCCCGACCTCTAAGGGCAGGCTTCGCCTTGCCCAGCCTCTAAGGACTAGCTCCACCTGCTCGACCTCTAAGGGCGGGCTCCTCACTCGACCTCTAAGGGCTGGCTCTACCTCGCCCGACCTCTGAGGGCAGGCTCTGCCTCGCCCGATACCAAGGTTGCGGGCTCGCCTTGCCCAGCCTCTGAGGGCTGGCCGCCTCGCCCGGCCTCTGAGGGCTGGCTCCACCTTGCCTAGACTCTGGGGGTGGACTCCTCCTCACCCGGCCTCTGGGGGCGGGCTCCGCCTCGCCCAACCCTGGGGTTTGCGCTCTGCCTCGCTCGGCCTTTGGGGAGGGACTTCGCCTCTGAGGCCGGGGGATCCGTCTTGCCCGACAGAGACCCATGCCGCCGCCAACCACTCTAGGTCCAACCGAATGGGCCTAGGTCAAAGCTCTGACACTAGGGAGGTGACCAGCACGCCCCGATATAACTCGTGGTCGTGACGGGC